GTGGGTCAGAAAGCTGAGGATCCAGTTGTAGAGGGCGGAGCTGAGACCTAGGTCTTGGAGTTTTGAGATCAGTCTGGAGGGGATAATGGTGTTGAAGGTGGAGCTATAGTCAATAAGTAGGAGTCTGACGTAGGTGCCTTTGCTGTCCAGATGTTCCAGGGATAATTGCAGGGCTAGGGAAATGGCATCCACTGTGGATCTGTTACATCAGTAGGCAAATTGTAGAGGAATAAGGCAGGTTGGGAGACTAGAGTTGATGTTGACCATGACCGGAATGTCGAAGCACTTCATTATTATGGAGATCACAGCCACTGGGGGATAGTCATTAAGGTACATTTTCTGTGCTGTCTTTGGTATTGGGATGATAGTGGTCTTCTTGAAGCAGGTGGGGACTACGGCTTGTAGGAGGAGAGGTTGAAGATGTCAGCAAATACCTCTGCCAGCTGGTCTGCACAGGATCTAAGTATACGGCCGGGAACTCTGTCCACGCCCATTGTTTTCTTTGGGTTGACTCCCAGGAAGACTGATCTGACATCTGCAGCAGTGACAGTTGAGGCAGGTGACACTGCACCGCTAGCATTCTGCTTGAACCAAGAATAGAAGCATTGAATGCATCAGGGACGGATGTATCTTTATCCGCTATCTTGCTCGGCTTTATTTTGTATCCCGTAAAGTTGTTTAGGCCCTGCCACAGGCATTGGGAGTCTGTATGGTCGGTTTGGGCCTCTAACTTGGTCTGGTCCTGCCTTTTGGCATCTCTGATGGCTTTGCAGAGATCATATCTGGATTTTTTGTATAGATCTGGATCATTCCACTTGAATGCTGCATGCCTTGAGTCTTTAGTAGGGAGTGGATTTCCTGGTTCTCCCAAGGTTTCCAGTTGGGGAACACACGGATTGACTTCTTTGGTACACAGTCCTCCATGCATTTGCTAATGAAGTCCACGATGGTGATGGTGTACTTGTCTAGGTTTCCTGCTGAGTATTTGAATACGGTCCAGTCCACCGCTGCCGAGCGGTCCTGGAGACACTCTTCTGCTGCCTCGGACCAGCACTGTATTCTTTCTGTGGAGGATCCTCCCGTTTCAGGTTCTGCCTGTAAGCTGGGAGAGGAACACAGCGTTGTGATCTGATTTTCCGAAGTGCGGGTGGGGGTGGAGCGGTACAGTCTTTGATGGTTCTGTAACAGCGGTCCAGGATGTTCAGCTCTCTAGTGGGGCAGGAGATGTGTAGGTGGTACTTTGGCAGCATCCTCTTGAGGTTGGCCTGGTTGAAGTCACCGACCATGATGAATAAGACATTGGGGAATTTCATCTCCGGAGTGTTTGCGGTGGGGTAAATTTCGTCCAGGGCATACTTCACATCTGTATAAGGTGGTATGTAAACTGCAGTCAGGACGGCTGAGGTGAACTCACACGGTAGGTAGCAGGGACGGCATTTTATTGTAAGGTATTCTAGGTCTGCTGAACAATGGCTTGCCAGGCTCGCTATGTCCGAGCAGCAGGAGGTATTGATCAGGAAGCATACCCCACTGCCACGTGCCTTACCCAAGGATGCCGTCAGCTTGTAGGGCACAGTCAGGAATGGCAGGGGTGAGCCAAGTTTCAATGAAACAGCACACAACAGTCTCTCAGTTCCTTCTGGAAGGTAAGTCTAAATCGGAGTTCAGCCATTTTATTTTTGATAGCCTGGACATTTGGTAGGAATATGTTGAGGAGGGGTGTCTCGAAATCACATTGTTTCAACCTCACCTTCAGGCCAGCACATTTTCCCCATTTTCTTAATAGGTTTCCTGCATCTGGATGATTCTGGGTGTTGGTGCTCCTGCAGGTAAATGAGTCTGGTTGTCTCCATGAAGAGGCTGGGAGCTGCCCTGGTGAGCAAGGTCCAGCAGTCTCAGGGTCTGCTGGGTACATGCGGACCTGCATTCCAATTCTAGCCATTGATGTTCAGCACCAATGGTAAAGCGATTCGGGGAACAGGACTTTCACCTCAGTCCAGGTACTCCTTCCTCACAGAGATGGATGTTGTCAGTAGGCGCACAGGCAGAGGAGGAACCACACTCAGGCTCCCCACAAGAGTCCTCTGAGGACACTCCAGAGATGGACAGACAGACCATCCATCTCTAATCTGTCCACCACACTCAGCCTATGAAAGGTCCAGCTGAGGAGGTGCATTTACCTTTGGGCATGGTTAACTCAGCAGGTCTCGGCCCTGTAGACAATGCGACTGGGGTTGGCCAATCAAATCTCCAAGACCAACAGATTCAGTGTAGTGTAGGCTCCTCCACTCTAGTTATGAACCCCATGATTGTACTAAGAAAGAAGACATTCTGAAGACACATGTCACTGGAAATTGGCTCCAACAATTTGTAAATATATGCTCTCTTTTCACCATCATCTGTGTGTGGCAGTCCCTGTCTAGCCACATTGCATCATAGAAAGTTCAGAATCCATTCATCCTTAGTCTTACACGATTCTCAATGATCCAAGATGTGAAGTGAACAGCTCCTGCACCATGTGCAGGCAATGGATAAATTATAGCTGACTGCTCCTTTGGCATCTAGGCTCCAGCTCTCAAAATGGACAAACATTACTAAAGCATCACAGATATTAGTGGCTTTTGTTTGTTATCTTCCATGATACGATCAGGATTGCTTGAGGTAATGAGTTGGATTGCACACAGTAGGCTCGTGCCTAAGGTTCACAAGAAATGTAGCGCTCGCAGTGCGTTTCAGTTTTAGTGTATGTTGTTTGTCTCCCTTGCAATTGAAGCCTCCTCCCTTATATTTTGAAGCAATTACTCTGCCCAATATGGGTGCAGTTATAGCTATTTTAATCTCCATTGTGCATTTGTTATTTACAGGACGATGGAAGGCAAAAGCGGTCACTCATTGGACCACGATTTCTAACTCCACTTCATTCTGTCGCCGTGTAGGTGAATCCCCAAACATAAACATTCATTTTCTGCTAGCCCTCCCTATCAACCCCACAGACTTTGTACTTTCCCACCCAACTGTCAGAATTTCATATGCCAGCTTTACCCCCATCCACCCCATCACCCCAGGTATATCAAGTTAATATGCCAGGTCTGGTAGTGTACTGCCCCCTCATAGAAGCCAGAATGTTGCTTACTGTCTATGACTTCCCCCAGGCCCTCATATGACCCCTTTCACTCTCTCGCTCCATCATCTCCCCCACCTGACATACTGAATTGCCCATTTTCAGAATTGTCATCCCCTCTGCATCCCTGTATTCTGCCTGCAATTAAGTTCTCCAGCCTCTCGACTTCACAGCACTGGCCCCTTGATACCCCCCTTGACTTTTAGTGGAACAACACTCCAGGCTGACCATAGCTTCCCCTCATTTTGAGTGACTGAGCTGAAAAGCACCAAAAGATGAACAGCTAGACCCCTGACTGGTAGCTGTGCAGCTCCCTGATTGTGATCCTGTGACTCCCTGGATCGATTACATTGCATCCATGGGGCTGACTGGAACCCATTTCATGGGCTGCAGAACTATCAACATCCTGACCATGTTCAAGTTCCTGGACTGAAATCGGAGTCTGTCCTTGACTTATTGTGCCATGTACACTTGATTGAAGAGTGCCTTCCTTTATGTCACTAAGGATTACTCCCCTTACACTTAGAAATATGGTCATTTGCTTGGAGCATGTGCAGTGTGTTTACCGTAGAAGCTGCTGGCACATGCTGTAGGTATGAGCTTGATGTCACAAGTTGCCATTCAGCAATCCTTTGACAAATGACTGCTGACCAGAACAATAAGCTGCCTGGCTTTGCTAAGCTACAAGGCAATAGAAGAGTACTGCGAGACTTTATGGCAAGGCAAGGCAGGGACTCTGTGAGCAGGAAGGCACTATAAGCGAGCACTAAGACAGCAAGTGATCAGCCTGAAATTCAGCTTGGTTCCACGTGTGAGCTGGATGCCTGTCGCTGCGCACAAAGTCTCCTTGCAGCAGCATTGCAATGAGAGGTGTATAAAAGTGCAGCATGAAAATGCAGAAGGATGTTGTAAATGGATTGGAGATGTGCAAAGACACTGGCACATGTCAGATGCCTATGTCTGTGGGATGCATGCAGACACTGTCCACGGTGCAACGGTGAGATGGTGGTGCCAGATTTTCAAGATGGAGGTTGGAAGAGCAAGCAGCAAGCTGGAGTCATCAGGTACCTGCTCTGACTTCCATGTTCGGAATTCTCAGCATTCAGTCTCTATCTGACAGAGGGTAGAATGGAACCTGCATACTAATGGCTCAAGATTAAGTGATAATGTATAATAATCCGTATTAACACTGATCTTGCTGCTTACTGGGAAGAATCTCATCTCAATATCCAGAGCTGGTTTGGAAAATATAGATTGTTGGTCCTGATGTAGTGAAGGTCTCATTCAACTTCTCACATGATTCTCCCAAACTTCATGCCAAAGCCCATGTCATTCAGGGCCTGGGAAGATTGCATCCTCGAGTTTCTCAATGATTGTAAGAATAGAGTGATTACAGAAACAGAAATAAAGAGGTTGAGAAATTTAAGTCTGAGTCACAAAAGATCCATGAATGAAAATAGGTTGGTAAGTACAGGCACGGTGAGTGAATGGATTTGGCATAGTACAATAAAGACAGCAAAATTTTGTATTAGTTGTAGGATAAAGCATGAGAGTTTATCCGGGTCAGTATTTGAAAAAGGAGTCTGATGGACTTTCCATCAAATAGGAGGGGAGAGTGGTGGTTATAGCCTTATAGCTGAGGCAGCCAGAAAATGATCCAAGTGAGGAATCGTAAAGATTTATCCTCTAACTACATTAATTCAAATTCCCTGTATTGCCTCAAGAGGAACGTTAGCCTAATGCTTCTAAGAGAAGTTCCACTGTATAAATGCAGCAAATTCATCAGTGCATTGTTTGGAATATAGTATGCCCTTGCCACAAAATCCAATATTATGAATTATTTATTCTGTCCTCCATTTTGAAGTTGTTACATACTCACAGATTCCAGCCAGATGTGAAGTATTCAGATGGTCCCAGCCCAGTGATTTTCAGTAACATTTCTACCCCGTAAACTATACAAAACATAGAATTACAATTATTAATGGGTAAATATCCATCAAAAAACTTTCTACGCATGATTTGAAGTATAGAAAAGATTATTAAATCAAAGTGAGCCATACAAAAGCATGCATGAGTTTTTTTTTCCATTTTGGCACTGATCAAACAGGAAATACGACAGTCTTAACATTATCTACACTTATACTCAAACTATCAAATGATTTTTACTATCATTAGTTGATTTTTTAACAAATTCAAGTAACCTTTTCAATTGTTCTAATAAAGAATGAAAAAACAATCCTTTTTACTGCTATGGAGAACTTCTCACTACCCGAAGCTCTGCAAGTAGATTGAAACCACAAAGTTTTGGTAAAGATCTGTAGCTTGGGTTGTGGTTGAGGTTGTTGACTTGTTTGCCGAGCTGGCTTGTTTTCATTCAGACGTTTCATCACTATGCTAGATAACATCATCAGTGGAGCCTCCGATGAAGCGATGTTATTCTACTCCGCTTGGAATTTACACTGTCTGGTCCGTTATGGTGAGTACTGACATATCCGGTTTTGATCTGTATGGGTTTGTATATGGGGTCCAGTTCTATATGTTTGTTGATAGCACTACAGGTGGAGAACCATGCCTCTAGGAATTCCCGTGTGTGCCAATGTTTGGCTTGGGCTACTCTAGTTACCTTGTCCCAGTTAAACTGATGGCCTTCATTGTCTGAGTGTACTTTTAAGGAAAGTTTGTCATGCTGTTTTGCTGCTAGTTGATGTTTTTTTTCATAGAATCCCTACAGTGTGGAAACAGGCCCTTCGGCCCAACAAGTCCACACTGACCCTAGGAGTATCCCACCCTGACCCATCCCCCAATCTACACATCCCTGAACACTACGGGCAATTTAGCACGGCCAATCCATCTAGCCTGCACATTTTTGGACTGTAGGAGGAAACCGCAGCACCCGGAGGAAACCCACACAGACACGAGGAGAATGTGCAAACTCCACACAGACAGTCTCCTGAGGGTGGAATTGAACCCGGGTCCCTGGCGCTGTGAGGCAGCAGTGCTAACCACTGAGCCACCGTGCCACCCATACATGTATTCTGATGGCTGCTTTTCTTCCTGTCTGTCCGATGTAATGTTATTCTATATTTGGCTTGGGCAACTATGGTTACGTTGTCCCAGTTAAACTAATGGACTTCATTGTCTGAGTGCACCAATATTAAGGAGAGTTCGTTGTGCCATTTTGCTGCAAGTTGATGTTCATGTATTCTGATGGCTAGTTTCCTTCCTGTCTGTCCGATGTAATGTTTGTGGTAGTCATTGCATGGTATTTTGTAAACCACATTGGTTCTGCATGTTGTGGGAATGGGGTCTTTAATCCTTGTAAGTGTTTGTTGTAGAGTGGCTGTGGGCTTGTGGGCTACCATGATTCATAGTGGTCTTAGGAGTCTTGTTGTCAGTTCCAATTTGTTCTTGATACAGGGCAGCGTGGCCAGTGTGTTAGGGGATACTGTGTCCTCCTGTTGTCGTCTGTTTAGTAGGCATCTGCGGGTGAAGTTGCGGGGATATCCGTTTATAGCGTGAATTTTGTATAAGTGCTCTTCCTCTTTCTTGTGTAGTTCCGGAGTGTTGCAGTGTGTCCTGGCCCCGTTAAATGGTGTCCTGATGCAGCTTTGTTTGTGGACACTGGGGTGGTTGCTGTGGAAGCTGAGGATTTGATCAGTATGGGTTGCTTTCTGTATACCGAGGTTTGGAACTCCCCATTGGTCATACGCTCAACTTTAACATCCAGAAACAGACGTGGATTGTTTACTTCTTCCCTTGTGAATTTAATCTTTGCGAATATGCTGCTGATGAGGTAGTGCGTCTCTTCTAATTTGTTGTGTTTAATAATGACAAATGTGTCGTCTACGTACTGGATCCACAGTTTAGGTTGAACGTGGGGGAGGGTTTTGTGTTCTAGTCTTTGCAAGACTGCTTCTGCAATGAGTCTTGAGATGAGCGACCCCATTGGGATACCATTGATCTGTTTGTATTGTTGACAATTAAAGACAAAGTGTGTGGTGAGGCAGCGGTCTAGTAGTTTAAGTATATTGTCATTGCTGATGGAGCTGCTGGTCTGTGTTACTGCTTCCTCTAGTAATCTAACCACTGTTTCTTTCGCTAGTGAGATGTCGATTGATGTGATAAAAGCTGTGACCACTAGAAATCATGGTACCCCACCAGCCCACAGCCACTCTACGACAAACACTTACAAGGATTAAAGACCCCATTCCCACAACATGCAGAACCAATGTGGTTTACAAAATACCATGCAATGACTGCCACAAACGTTACATCAGACAGACAGGAAGGAAACTAGCCATCAGAATACATGAACATCAACTTGCAGCAAAATGGCACAACGAACTCTCCTTAATATTGGTGCACTCAGACAATGAAGTCCATTAGTTTAACTGGGACAACGTAACCATAGTTGCCCAAGCCAAATATAGACATGCACAAGAATTCCTAGAAACATGGTTCTCCACCCATAATGCTATCAACAAACATAAAGAATTGGACCCCTTTTACAAACCCATACAGATCAAAACCGGAAATGAGACTATTCACTGTAACAGACCAGACAGTATAAATTCCAAGCGGAGTAGAATAACATCGCTTCATCGGAGGCTCCACTGATGATGTCACCTAGCATGGTGACAAAACAACTGAACGAAAACAAGCCAGCTCGGCGAGCAAGTCAATGACATCAGATTGAAATCTCAGTTTGCATTTATGCATTTCCACTGATGCAAGTGTGGTGTGTTTCCTCGAGCATTATGAATACACAACACCAATGCTTAAAATCTGCTACAAAAACTTGAACATTTCTAAGCATAAAATGTATTTAAAAGAAAAGTCCCATATAGTAATCTAAGTTCCATATAATTCAGCAAAAATGTTTAGGCTCAATAATGTACATGACTTAGATCCAGAACCATTTCGATCAGTTCCAAAGACATATCAGACTCCTGAGGGAAATTAGTTTTAGCTGAAACATGGGACAAACTCCAAAGACCATTAACATCCCCCAGGATAAGGGATCTTTACAGTGAAATATCTTTCTCCCATATTTCTAGAGACTGATTATATGAATATTTGATATAAATTTTGCATTAAAATACTTGGCTGCACATATAAATCACCTCCAAACCTTAAATCAATATCACTAGGGAACAAGTGTATTGATTTGTAAGTGGCATCACAAAATTAAACAGATCTGAGGAGCCTGAAATAAAACTTACATTCAGGGACAAAAAAAAGCACAAATGTTGCATCAGTATTACTAACCCACATAAAATACAGCCTCCATCTCTTAATCACAGTTGTGTTGCAATGGTAGGGTGAAGAAAATCATTCTCTAGAGATCCCCCCCATCCTACATTTGAAGAATGGTGTGATGGTAAAGCATTCAATTAAGAATTTTATTTATAATGGAACAAAAAATCTAGTTTTACATTCAGTAATTATTTTTCCTAATCTTCTCTTGTGAGAAAATGTTCCTAGCTTCTATTCTTTCTCTGTGTAGGGGACGTGAAATATGATGTGAAAGATCATCAACTTCCTTCTCTCCCCATACCCGAATTTCAAAATCAGTAATCACCCTTACAGTTTAAAATTCTTCATTCTTTACAAACGTCAGTCCTTTATATTGAATAAACAATACCATAAAACATTTCTGATTTAACCCAATAATATGGCCAGATACTATACAGAAGTTAGAAGATAAATCAAAAATAACATAGTAGCACTTACTTGTGAGAAATACAATGTAACTCCAGGGCACAATCCGGAGGAAAAAGGCACCATCTACAGAAAGGATAATGCAATCATCCCAAAAAAAGTAAAATTTCAAATCCAGGGTCATATACAAAAGATGGCAGATACACATTTGTATCATGTAAGAAGATCTGCAGTTCTAGAAAGAATTGTTGGGCTAGATATTTATTTTACCTCTTGGCTATAAAGCTGATGTAAATAATCTACGGTTAGTCACAGAAATCACATAATCTATATTTCCATTCAAGTCTGTTTGCAAGTTTTATGCCCAGTTGGCATTTTAAAAATCATCCCCAATACCTCTGATAAGAGAAGTTAGATATACAATCTAGATTGTTTATCTCATAGCAGAGTTTATCTAAAAATCCTGAAGGGCAAAAAAATTCATGATTTGATTCCACAAGCCTGCAAACATCATTAAGCTCCTAGGCAACTGGATTATGAAGCAGAAAGTCACTTGACTGATATTACAGGGGTGTAGATTTTTTGATCTTTCTGCCATGCCATTCTGCCTTCAAATCTGTTTGCAACAAGGCATGTACATAAAGAATAGCCAATCAAACAAGGTAGCAATTGTCCCCAATGACTCTGGAATCTTGGAAGCAATGGCTTCAGAAAATGAGGAATGAAAGGAAAGTGGGCAGAACAATTGGACACAACAACAGTTTTCATGTCCAATTTATACAACAGGTGTGTTGGGATATTCTGATCAATTTCATGTTATCTCTCATTGACATCTTTAAACATAATCTAATTATATAAAGAACATCCACTAAATTCAACACTTTTATCTAAAACAATTTAACTGATTTACAAAAATTGATTTGTAGATTGTTTTGACACCTTTGATCATGAGCGTGTCAGCCAGTATCCAAATTCCATTTACAGCAATAACAACATCTGAAATAGAAAGATTGATGCATGTCAGATAATTGTTCAATTCTACAATTTTTTTTCAGAAGTTACACAGAATTGCAGGTTCACAACCAAATTCAGTGATTATCCAAAACTCATGATTCACTTATAGATTGGTTTTATTTTGTCAATTTGATGCATAGAACAATTCCTCCTTATCTTCCCTTCTGGTCCTTTTACCATGTTTTAACAAGTTACATAGAAGCATAGGAAGTGGGAACAGGAGTAGGCTATTCAGCCCTTCATGGCTGATCATCCAACTCAGTACACTTTTCCCACTTTCTCCCCACACCCTTTAATCTCTTTATGAAGTTAACCTTATAGAAAAATGGCTAATCAAAACCGTGTATATTTTTACAGGTATTACATCCCAAAGGAAAAGTAGTTATGCATACAGTGCAATAATACATCGCCTTCAGAAACTGAAATGTTACAATTTACATCTCCCCCCCCACAACCCGCCTTATTCCTTAACAATATTGTGGGTCTGTTCAAACTACCTCAGATTTCAATAGTTCAACAAAGCATCCAAATATAATGGTCAATAACATGCCCTGACATATTCATCCAAGAGAAGGAAATTAATTGTGTAAAATGAAACAGTAAATCAATACCTCCAATTTAAATCTTTTAATCATGACAGAAACCCTATTTTAAATGCCATTTTAGCACTGAGACTGCAACCAATGCTGCACACCCTGTAGTGACTAGTTAATAACTTAAGCAATGCATGTAGAGTTCTTCGCAAATAATACATATTAAGGAAGCAGATGTAATTTAATCAATGCCATAAGACAAGACTATCACTACTTTGGAACCATTCTGTGTAAGGACTCCCCAAATGTAAATAAAGGCTGACTTGGTGACAGAATGCGGGCCTCTGGTGTTATTTCACCCAGGTTGCCTCCTTTTGAGAAGGCCTGCCCATTAAGCACTTTAGAGTAGTGCAGCAATTACTCTGCATGCTAAAACAGCCTGTAAAATGTCTGTTGGCTCCTTGCTCCTGTGCATACGGGACCAGTTATGTCAGTGGTCTATGACAGGCTTCATGGTGCTCATGTGTCCTGTGCAGTTATGCTAGCGAATGTGCAGAATGCGCCACGTTTATCTCGTTAATTAATTAAGCTGAGACAATGCAGGGACAATGGCAGAGGTGGGAGAGGAAGGAGGCCTGTACCAGGAGTCATCCTTCTTTTTGTGCGGGGATAATAGGATGGTTCAATGAAGATAGGGAGGTTTGTTTTGGCTTTTTTTTTGTATTCATTCACAGGATGAAGGCATCGTTGGCTAAGCCAGCATTTATTGCTCAGATGGCTGTGGGTCTGGAGTCCCTTGTAGACCAGAGCAGATAAGGATAACAGATTTCCTTCCTTAAAGGGCATTAGTGAACCAGATGGGTTTTTTCGACAATCAGCAATAGATTCATGAGACAACAAGGTGCAAGGCTGGATGAAC